ATTTTATACGTCTCAATCAAATGCCCTCTCAATCTCCTCTGCGCTAAGTAAGACAACCACAGTCTGTCCAACCTCTCGTTATAACTGAAGCACTTTATCCAACTCTTCTGATACTTTAAGGGACTGGCGTAAATGCTCATCAAGGTCTCTCTGATCCATGGTGCTTCCTAAGGTCCTACTATTCCTCATGCATTGCCTGGCCTGGTTTGCCCTTTGAAATTTGCATATGTCTGCTCTTCTACTTCTCTTGGACTGTTGGGTGCCCAGAGTACACTCCCAACAATGTGATTGCTCCTTTTTGGCTTTTAATTTCTACATATGGCTTCATGCGAAAAGCCTTCTAAAATGTCATCCTTCCTGTTGTAACTGATTCAAAATTGGAATACCTCCTTTTCTCTTACCTAAATCCCTCTCACTTAAAGACCCTGTATCCTGGCACATTGTGCTGCCAGTCCTGCTGCTCTTTCAACCAGGTCTCAGCGTCAGCAATGACATCATACCTACATGTTTTATTTTGTGCCCTCAACATACCTATCTTGTTTGTCAGACTTCTAGCATTCAAATAAATTCACCCAGCCTTGCCAAACTCCCTTGTGTCTTAAACTGGTCTATAATTTCTATGACTTTCTGACTCACATGTGTGGTTTCTAATTTTGGCTGTTCATCTTCCCCTACTGAACGTTCAGTCTGGATCCCACCCATTTCATTCATTTAAACCTGCCCCAACAGCACTAGCAAATCTCCTTGGAAAGATGCTGGCCTCATTCGGTTCAAGTGCAACCTGTCTACCTTGAACAGAGCCCCATTACCTCTAAAAACAGTCCCATTGTCCCAGAAATCTAAAACTCTCCTTCCTACATCCTCCAGCCATGCATTCATCTGGATTAGCCTCTTATTCCTATACACATTCATTTGTAATACCAGAAATAATCCAGAAATTACTACCTTTTGGGTCCTGTTCTTTAACCAATTTCCTAGTTCTCTAAATTCTGCTTTCAGGACCTCACCCTTCTTCCTACCTAAATCATTGGCACCAATATGTATCACAATCTCTATCTGTTTGCCCTTCAGAATGCCTTGCAACAATTGAGTGACATCAAGGAACCTGGGACCAAGGAGGCCACCTACTAACCTGGAGTCTCCTTTGTAGTCGCAGATATGCTTGTTTGTTGCCCTTACAATTGAATCTCCTACCAGTATAGCCCTGCTGTTCTTTTTCCTACCTGCTTGTGCAGCAGACCCACATAGTGTGCCATGAAGTTAGTTGCCACTGCTTTCCCCTGCACAGTCAATATTATATACCGATAGTAACCAAACTAGTATATCTATTAGAAAAGGGGGATGGCCACAGGGGACTCCTGCACTACCTGCCTTCCTCTATCCTGCCTGCTAATCACTCATGTCCTTTCTGCCTGTTCAGTCTGCATCTATGGTATGACCACCTCAATGAATGTGCTATCCATGACTTGCTCAGAAGTACATGTACTTCCCTGCCTTGCTAATCCTCCTAAAATGGATCACCTCACACTTTTTGGGGTAAAATTCCAATTGTCGCTGGTCAGCACCAGTGAATCGTCCTGTGGTTTAAGATTTTCCTTCTTGCTATTTACCATACATCTAATTTTTGTACAATCGGTAAACTTACTGATCATACCTCCTATATTCGTATCTAGAAAATTAATGTCCAAAACACAGGTAGCCAAAGTGATTAAGAAGACATATGGCATGCTTGCCTTCATCATCTGGGGCATGGAGTACAGGAGTTAGCAAAACATGTTGCAGCTATATAAAACCCTTATTAGACCACATTTGGAGTATTGTGTGCAGTTTTGGTCACCACACTACTGGAAAGATGTGGAAGCTTTGGAGAGAATACAGAGAAGGTTCACCAGGATGTTGCCTCATCTCCAGGGCATTAACTATGAGGAAAGGCTAACAAGACTGGGATTGTTTTCATTGGAAAGATGGTGGATGAGAGGAGACCTGATAGAGGTCTAGAAAATTTGAGAGGCATAGATAGGGTGGATAGTTAGAGGCTTGTACCCAGGGTTGAAGTTTCAATTACGATGGCGTGGGGGTGGGGGAGGGGAGTCCCAAGTTCAAGGTCAGAGGGGGAAAGTTTAAGGGAGATGTGCGAGGGAAGTTTTTCACGCAGAGAGTGGTAGCAGCCTGGAATGCACTACCAGAAGAGGTGGTGGAAGCGGGCACATTGAAGACATTTAAGAGGCACCCAGATGGGCACATGAATAGGGACCGAATAGAAAGGTACAGATCAAAAAAGGCAGGTTTGTTTTTAGATTAGTTAGGGCATGATGGTTGGCACAGGCTTGGAGGGCTGAAGGTCTTGTTCCTGTGCTGTACTTTTTCATTTGTTCATTTGTTTTGTTCATCTGTTCAAAACAAACAGAAAGGAACCCATCACTAAACCCTGTGGTATGGCACTGGACATAAACTTCCAGTCACAAAAACAGCCTACAATCATCACCGAAAGGACTGCAGATGTTGTAAATCAGGAACAAAAACAGAAGTTGCTGGAAAAGCTCAGCAGGTCTGGCGGCATCTGTGAAGGAAAATCAGTTAGCGTTTTGGGTCTGGTGACACCACCTCAGAAGCGATGGTAGCTAGGAAAATGTCGGTTTACATTCATCAGTTCTGAGGAAGGGTCACTGGGCTCGAAACGTTAACTCTGATTTTTCTTCACAGATGCTGCCAGACCTGCTAAGCTTTTCCAGCAACTTCTGTTTTTGTTCTAGAGTCATCACCCTCTGGTTCCTGTCACTAAGCCAATTTTGGATCCAATTTTCCAAATTCCACTGGATCCCATGGGTTTTTAACTGCTTAACCATCTGCCACTGATGATCTTGTCAAAAGCTGTACTGAAGTCCATATCCACTACATCGGTTGCACTATCCCCATCTATTAATCACCTCCTCAAAAAATTCAAACACATTTATTAGGCATGATCTTGCCAACAGTCATTATGACAATCCTCAATTAATCCTTGCTCCTCTAAATTGAGATTACTTGTGTTCCTCTGAATTTTTTTTTTCTCAGTAGTTTTCCTAACCTTGATGTTAGAATCAATGGCTTGTAGTTTCTTGGTTTATCCATGCTGCAGTTCTTGAATAATGGCACACATTAGCTATGCTCTAGCACCACTGCTGAGGCCACAGATGGTTTGAACATTCATGTCAAATCCCCTGCAATCTCCTACCTTATCTCCCACAATACCCTGGAATATATCTCATTTGGGACTGGGTATTTGTCCACTTTCAAGTCTGCTAAAACCACTAATATGGCCTTCCTCCCAATGCCAATTTATTCAATTATATGTAGAACTGGAGGAACTCAAACAAAGCATTAGTGAGCAGGTTATTCCCTTGCATATGCCACTTGATAATTTTCAATGATTCCTTCCATAACTTTGCAGATAATCCAGAGTAGACTGATATGATGGTAACTGACCTGGTCAAATTTATCCTGCTTTTTGTGGACAGGACATCTCGTTGATGGCATTCTTGTGGGTGTACTGGATCAGCCTATTTAGGGGCACAGCCTGTTCTTTAGCATAAATGTTCATTATAATTGATGGAACTTTGTCAGGTCTCATAGCCTTTATAATATCCAGTGTCTGTTATCACTGCTATGGGATGAATCAAACTCGTTGAGCACTGGCATCTGTGGTGCTGGGGACTTCAGGAAGAGTTTGAGATGGTTCATAAACTTAGCACTTTGGCTGAACGTGGATGCAAATGCTTCAGCCTGGTGTTTTGCACTGAAGTGCTGGGCACTCCCATTATGAGGATAAGGATATTTGTTGAAGCCGCTCCTCCTGTTAGTTGGTTAACTGCCCACCACTATCTGTGACTACCTGTGCTACGTATATCTGATCTGTTGGTTATGGGATTGATTAGACCTATCTGTTGAGAAGTGCTTCTGCTGTTTGGCACACAAGCATCGTAGCTTCAACAAATTGATACCTCATTTTCAGGTATACCTGCTCCTGTCATGTCCTCCTGCAATCCTGAACATGTTTGGACCAAAAATGTAATGACGTCAATAGCAGAGCAACGCTGACAGGACCTAAATTGAGCAGCAGTGATGTTATTTTTGTGTGAGATAGCACAGCTTGATAGCACTGTTAATAGCACCTTTGCTCATGATTAAGAGGTGACTGACAAGGGAGTAATTTCCGTCCTTTTTTTGTGGACAGGCATACATCTTCCACCTTGTCAGGCAAATGCCATTATTATAATTGTACCCGAACAGCTTGTCTAGCTCAGTTGGTACTGCAGCACATGTTTTTGAACTGTACTACTGCACACGCTTGCAGTATCCAGTGCCTTCAATGATTTCTTGACATCATGTGGGGTGAATTGAATTGATAGAAGACTTGCATGTGAGATATTTGATCATCTACTTGGCACTTTCAGGTGAAGACATTTGACAATCAACACGAGACTGAAATGTGAATCTCACAAACGTCACAATGGTGAGATTAGGATCACAGATTTTTATTTGGCAATAGTCTGCAGTTCCCCGTATGTCATTTCATGTCATTCTACATACTTAACAGCAACACAGATGACACTTTCATTTGGAAATTAATTTCAGCATCCAAAATGTTAATTGCACATCAAGATCACAAGATGTAGAAGAATAACAAAACTGCCAACCGAGAGACATTAAATGTGCACAATAGAGTGAAAATAAATCATACAGCCCATCCAAAAACTTAGGCCGTTAGCCTATATTGTTTAAAATTAGACAAGTTGTAACAGTTGATATTTGCGTACAGATTTAACTTCCACGATTTAACATTGATCGTTTGTCATAATTTATTTTGGACTTTGCGGCATTATAGTGTGTAATATTCTCCTTTTTTGTCTTATTTTTCGAGGCGAAAGCGATTTTCACGATTGTGGCTGTATTCGCAGAACAGCAAGAGGTACCTTATTTCGCTTTCACATTGAACCAACTGCCCACAAAATGATAGGCAGATACTGGATCTGCATCGGGGATGTCATCAATTTGCGACGGAGATGTTTTGTCATAAGATGCGACGACGCGTGTTTCCAGAGGAGGAGTGTGAGCACGTTTGTGGTGATTTTCATAGACTCTTTGGTAATGTTAACTAAATCTGATTCGTTTCGCGCCGTTCCATGCCTTTACATCAAGCCGGACAACTATTCAGTCAAGTCCTCAAATTTCGTAACGGTTTACTTTTATTTTTACTGAGCACCAAGAGTAAGACTTCCGCTTTGATTTTAAGTTGTAGGCACGTAGCTGCTCTGGTGTTTTTTATGCACAGGCGAAGCAATGTGTTGTGGTAATTGCAAGATAATTAATTCGTAATTTCTCCTTTTGGATAACTATCTTCAAATCGTTGTTACAGAGGTTGTGCTTTGTTCGACTCCTCTAGGGAGGCACTTCACCTTAACCAAGTTACTGATTAAAACAGCAGTGCAGACTATTTTCCGTGGTATAGTAAATCCATTTGCCGAAGTCACCGTTTTGTTTTGGGGTGCGGGAGGGGATGGGAGGGTTGATATAATTTTCCTGTAAACCACAAGGTTCCAGATTTAGCCCTAATCCAGGTGTGTGCACAAAAATTCAAGCTGATGTACTATGTGGAATTGAGCAATGCTATATCATTTTGAGGTGTTGTCTTTTGGCGGAATGTTTGACTGACACCTGAGTGGATGTAAAAAAATTTCCCAGCACTATTTCAAATAAGAGAAAATGAGTTTATACCGTACTGTAGCCTCTCATAAAAACTTATCCGGTCATTATCCTATTCCTGTTTGCATTATATATTGACTGCTTTATTTTCTACATTACTATGCCTTAAAAAGCTGTACAATGTTTTAAGATCTGGATGTTGTGAAAAGGGCAATGGAAATCATAGAATCTCTACTGTGTGTAAACAGGCTCTTCGGCCCAACAAGTCCACACCAACTCTCTCGGCATTCCACCCAGACTCATCCCCCTATATATCCTTGAACACTACGGGCAATTTAGCATGGCCAATCCACCTAGCCTGCACACCTTTGGACTGTGGGAGGAAACCCACGCAGACACGGGGAGGATGTAAATCTTCAACTTTTTATCACAGGATCTGAGGCAAGTCCAGCATTTGGTGTCCATCCTTATAGCTGTTGAGAAGTGGTGGTGAGCCACCTTCTTAACTGACTGCAGTCTGTGTGATGTACGAGTACCCACAATGCTGGCAGGACAGATGTTCCAGAATTTTGACTCACTGAATGAAGAAATGGTGCTTTAGTTCCAACCCAGGATACTGTGTAACTTGGGAGGTGAACTTGCAGATGGTCGTGTTTGTATCTGTTGTTGTTATTCTTCTGTTTGGTAGATGTGGGTGTTTGGAAGGTGCTATGGACAGAGCCTTGCTGAGTTGCTATGGTGTCTCCTGCAAAGGTCATTGCATGTTAGTGGTGAATGGGGTGTAAATAAAGCAGGTTGTTTTGTTCTAGATGGTGATGAACGTCGAGTGTTGTTGGAGGTACAAACATCCAAACTCGCAAGTAGATGTGATTGTGAAGGAGCCGTTTGGTATGCTTGCCTTTATTGGTCAGTGCATTGAGTATAGGAGTTGGAAGGCTATGTTGCGGCTGTACAGGACATTGGTTAGGCTACTTTTGGAGTTCTGCATTTAATTCTGGTCTCCCTGCTATAGGAAGGATGTTGTGAAACTTGAAAGGGTTCAGAAAAGATTTATAAGGATGTTGCCAGGATTGGAGGGTTTGAGCTGTAGGGAGAGGCTGAATAAGCTGGGGCTATTTCCCTGGAGCGTTGCAGGCTGAGGGTTGACCTCACAAAGGTTGATAAAATCATGAGCGGCATGGATAGGGTCTTTTCCATGGAATTGTGAAGTCCAAAACTAGAGGGCATAGGTTTGAAGTGAGCGGGAAAAGATTTAAAAGGGACTTAAGGGACAACTTCTTCACACAGGGTGGTGTGTGTATGGAATGAGCTGCCAGAGGAAGTGGTGGAGGCTGGTACAGTTACAACATTTAAAAGGCATCTGGATGGATATATGAATAAGAAGGGTTTAGAGGAATATGGGCCAAATGCTGGCAAATTGGACTAGATTAATTTCGGATATCTGATTGGCATGGACAATTTGGTCTGAAGGGTCTGTTTCCATGCTGTATATCTCGAAGAGGAAGAATTTCTTCACTCGGTTGTGAACCTACGGAATTCTCTACCACAGAAAGATGTTGGTGCCAGTGAATTTGATATATTCAAGAGGGGGCTGGACGTAGCCATTGTTGCTCAAGGGATCAAGGGTTATGGAGAGAAAGTGGGAGTGAGATACTGAAATGGCATGATCAGCCATGATCAGCCATGATCATATTGAATGATTGTGCAGGTTTGAAGGGCCAAATGGCCTACTCCACCTGTTTTCTATGGTTCGATGTTTCTGTGTTTCATAGCGTTACTCACAAGGGCTCATGTGGCACAATGGTAGTGTCTCTTACCTCTGCACCATGAGCCACGTTCGAGACATACCTGCTTCAGAGTATGTAGTAATGTCTCTGAACAGGTTGAGAAAATACCTAGTATTAGTCCCAAGTTGGATAGAGTGCTGTTTTATAAAGACCTGTTACACTGTATAATAGAATTTTTGTGGCTTAATTAAATCTTTGCGATGTTACGGCAGTAAATTTCAGATTAGACCATCTGTGATCACGTTCCTTACTTTGTTTTGCATTCAGCTCTCCTCTATATTCTTCTGTTCCTGTTCTTTGGCGTGGAGCTTCCCCTTCTCACTGTCATGCATTCTTAAAAGCCCAGCTGTTTGGATCCCAACTCGCCATTTCTTTAGGTAGCAATCTGTTGAACCTGCTTAATCTTCGATTATCCCAATTAAAATTGTACTTTCATGCCAGGGTTGCTTCCCTTGGGAAGGTCCTCAAATCAGCTCCCTGAGGTGTTGTCATCTCCCAACTTTTTCACTTATTTATTGTCACGTGTACCTAAGTACAGAGAAAAGCTTTGTTTGCGAGCAGTACAGGCCAATCATAGTAAGCAAGTACATACAGATCATAGGGTGAGAAAAGACTTGGACAGAGTAAGGCACACAGGTTACGTTGCCCAGGATGTGTGCTAGCCAAGATCAGCATTCTTTGAAGTCAGAGTCCATTCATCAGTCTGATAACAGCAGGGAAGAAGCTGTTCTTGAACCTGCTGGTGCATGTGTTCAAGCTTCTGTATCTTCTGCCTGATGGAAGAGGTTGTAGGAGAACATTACCAGGGTCGGATGGGTCTTTGATTTTGGCAGCCTTTCCACGGCAACGAAACATGTAAGTTGAGTCCGTGGATGGGAAGTTGGCTTCTGTGATGGCCTGGGCTGTGCACACAGCCTTCTGTAGTTTCTTACAGTCCTGGGCAGTGCAGTTGCTGTACCAGGCCATTATGCATGCAGATAGTATGCTTTCTGTGGTGCATCTATAAAAGGTTCAAGGTCTTTGTTGACATGCCAAATTTCCTGAACTGCCTGAGGAAGAAGAGGTGTTGTTGTGCCTTCTTGACCGTTGTATCTATATTAGAGGGCCAGGACAGGTTGTCGGTTATCGTCAGTCTGAGGAACTTGATGCTGTTGACCCTCTCAACCTCCGGTCCGTTGATGTAGATGGGGGGCATGTTCTCCGTTTTCTTTCTGAAGTCAATGATGAGTTCTTTAGTTTTGCTGACATTGAGAAAGAGGTTGTTATCATTGTACCACATCACCAAGCCCTCTATCTACTTTCTGTATTCTGACTCATTGTTTGATATCCATCCTACCATGGTGGTGTTGTCAGCAAACTTAAAGATGGTGTTTGTACGGTGTTTGGCAACATAGTCGTGGGTATACAGGAAGTATAGTTGGAGGGCTGAGAACGCCTCCTTGGGGTCTCCAGTTTTGAGTGTTATCGTGGAGGTGGTGCAGTTGTCTATCTTTGCTGATTGCTGCCTGTGAGTGAGGAAGTTGAGGATCCAGTTGCAGAGGGCAGAGCTGTAACCCAGGTCTTGGAGTTTTGAGATCAGCCGAGAGGGGATAGTCATAGACCCACAGAATCCCTACAGTGTGGAAGCAGGCCATTCGGCCCATCAAGTTCACACTGCCCTCCAAAAAGCATCCCACCCATATCCTTACTCTAGTACTGTAACCCTGAATTTTCCCATGGCTAATCCACCTAGCCACACATCCCTAGACACTATGGGCAATTTAGCATGGCCAATCCACCTAGCCTGCGCATCTTTTGGATTGTGGGAGGAAACAGGAACACCTGGAGGAAACCCATGCAGACCGGAGAAAATGTGCAAATTCCATACAGATGGTCGTCCGAATCAGACCCAGGTCCCTGGTGCTGTGAGGCAGCAGTGCTAACCACAGAGCCACTGTTCCACCCTAATGGTGTGGTGAGCAGGAGTCTGATGTATGTGTCGTTGTTGTCCAGATGTTCCAGGGATGAGTGCGGGGCTATGGAAATGGCGTCTGCTGTGGACCTGTTAGATTGGTAGGCAAATTGCAGCGGATCAAGGTAGGCTGGGAGACTAGAGTTGATGTGGGCCATGACCAGCCTCTCGCAGCACTTCATGATTATGGAGGTCAGAACCACTGGGCGGTGGTCATTAAGGCATGTTGCATTTTTCCATGAGATCCAATTTTGAATCCCTCACAAAGTTTCAACCTTGCCAAAAATCTGAGCTGCTACTTATTAAAATTGCGAATGTGACTGTGCCAAAGGCAGGTTGTTCCATATCATCATTCTTCAACTGTCTGCAGTCTTTGATACAGTTGATTGTGCCAAACCCTCTCCCCTTCAAGTCGACTTAGTTCCATTCTGAGGTAGCTAATTATAGCCAGAGAATTGCCATCCGTGATTTCTCTTCTTGTTCTTCCAAATATTACTTCTTGTGTTTCTGGTGACTTATCCTTAACTTTTTCCTATTTCTCACAGAAATGCTACTCAATATAGTCTGAAAACAGTGATTATTTTGACAGGTAGGCTGATGACACCCAGCTCTACCTCACCACCACCTTTCTTGACTTCTCCACTGTTTCTAAATGCTTATCAGACTGCTTATCTGATATCCTGTATTTACTGAGAATTTCTTCTAATTAAGTTATGGGACGATGAAACCATTGCCTTTGGTATCTGCTAGCAACTCTATTCCCTAAACACTGACTATTCCTCTCCTTTTGCGACTGTCTTGGATCACAGTATGTATCCAAGCAGTTCTCTTAATGATATTTTACCGAATCAAAAAGAAGACACGACAACAGTAATTTGCTTAAATATGAATGGTTATTTATTAATTAATTAATAAATGAGAAAGAAAAGAGAAACAGCAACAAACCTCACTCCTTTTTGCCTATTGGGGATCCCTCAATTGATGGCTGGTTTGGAGGCT